AATTAATTATACTTACCTTATGAATATGCATGAGGTCATTTGATTCACACAAGCATATCAGTAATCAAAAACTAGATTACAGTGAAGGGCAGAAAACTGGGGACATTGTAAACATTCTACTTTTATAAATCAAAATTGCTGTTCAAATACCAATCCAAAAATGGCATTGCATCATCATGAGTTTTAATTTATAATTAGTTAGTTCAATACCATCCAATCAGCAAGTGATTCATGTTGAATAAGTTGGTTGTCATAGTTACTATGTTGTGTCATAGACTCTATAGTCATGTGAAGGCATGCATTATGGGTATGGACAATGTTGAGCTCTTTGAGCCAGTCAATATTAAATATTTGATTGAAAGCTGATGATCAGCAACATAACTATGGTTATACACGTAAACTTGGGTACATCTTTCTGACTTTTACAGTACTTAGTGACATGCGTATTTATAACTGTTGAAATAGTTATGCAATGTCTCAAATAACTGGCAGCCACAACAAAGTAACGCATATGGGATTGAAAATATCTTTATTGTCTGCACACGTTGACCACATTCGATTCGCTTCAAATGGTGACGAACATTATTTATGTTTCAGGATTATACATGTGCCGTTTAGTAATTGTTTTTATCATTGTTTTCTCGTTTTTGCAGAGATGACTTAAATAACAGTTTTTCACCAACACGTCGATGTCAATCAATATCACCCAGTCACTTTGCTTCATCACCGTCACTATTAAGCAGGTCACCAGTGTCGCCTTCTAAGTCGTTAAATCTCTCACACTCAGGCAAGGTCAATTATTCCAACCTTTCCACGTCACTAGATGGTGACCCAGCCATAGACGCCAGCAGTGGGGAAACTGATGAACTTTTGAACATTACTGCGAATGACGTGAGTGAAAAAAAAACATTTTCAATGGGGTCACGAATAATGGAAATGAACGTTGGTACAATGTGCTCAGATGGAAATGAACATTGGTGCAATGTGCACAGATGGAAATAAAAGTTCTCCACTAACCAGTAATTTGAATTTATCAAAAATACTTTGAGAGAGTATTTATATTTGAACAAAACTTTCTTTATGTATAGAAATGCAAGCTGTAGTTTACCACATGCAGAATCATGCCTAACATTATTATTATCATTGGCAAAATTGAACTTGTACTGGTAGTTTTATTGTAGTCTGGGGGAAAAAACAAAAGAATCCTGCATACACCAAAAGAGGGTGCCCATCAATAGTGAATTTTAATCAATTTAATTTTTGTTCATTAGTTAGCTGATAACTCACCAACAAGTAAACTGCATAGACTCTTGTCAGAATCCAGAGAAATGGTCAAAAATCTTGAAAAAACTACATTACCTCCGTACTTCACAAAAGTAAGTGATTTTCAACCAACAGTTGTTCACTATGAAACTGTTGGATCTCATTTTAAATTCAGCAGCTGATGTAACTTGTGCTAATCTAGTGTAAAAAAGTACAACCTTTTGATCTCCATAGCAACCTTTACTCTAGTGACTACATGCATTTAAATGGATTAAAATAGACACATTTTAGCTATTAGGCGTATTTATTGTTATGCATAATACTGTGGAATACTTTATTTTTGCTGGAATTAATTTTCGCTGAAAAAGCATTTTGGATGTTTTGTATGGAATTTATTTTCACTGATTTTTGTTGAGTTGAATGTGGAATATAGGGAAAAAAGTATATTCGCTGGATTTTATTTTCACGGAAACATCCTTTCAGCGAAAATAGCGAAAATAAAGTATTCTACAGTATATGAAACTTGCATGGTCTGATGATCACCACTGTTTATAGCATTACATTTCATATAACTATCGTGTTTGAAACTAATCTCATCTGATTTTGCATTGTTCTTATTTCACAGGCATCCAACAAGACTGCATAGTGGGAACACCATGACCTCTGACCCATGACACTATTCCTGGTCTTTTTAATTAATGTAAATTGAATATTGCATTCTGTGCACTGTACATGTATGTAACATATATTATTCAACTTTAACTTTTTAATATTATATTTATTACTGACTTTTAATAGTTGATTGTACAATGTAATCTTGCACTATAATTGGGAATATCAGAAGCTTTCAAATCCTTATTGCATTATAAGCTGCAAATCACATTTTTACAGATTAATTTGAAATCGCAAAACACTATGAAATAATTTTTTAATATTGCTTTTGTATCACTTTTCACAGTGACTTTTAAAAAGGTCATAACTTGTGTTTTATACTGATTATTTTCATATTTTTTAAAGCCATGTAATACTCAAGTATGTGTTTAGGGTAAAGTGTTACAGTTTCCATTTAGATATATACAAATAGCAACAGTCCTAGACAACCTTTTGAAAAATGTAACTGCATTGTTAATAACATGTCAGAGACAATGTCACATGACAACTATGTTAGCTGTGTTACATGTATGTAAATGACTAGGTGTGTCTGTCTGGTGTTCCAAATTAACCATATTGTAATACTGGTAATCCAGTGTAAAATAAATACAACTGTTGGATTACATGTGTTCTATTGGTTATGTTCTTGTAATATTACCCGCTGTTAAAAATTTGGTAACACAAATGTAATTTTTGAGTATTACATGGATAAAAAAAAAATTGACAAAAAACATGGCTCACGCCTCTCTATTTTGCTACAAATGAATGCATTTATAGACACAATCTGATTGGGTAAGACATGAAAGGTTTCATAGGAAATTGAAATAAAATCA